TGGTTTTGGATAAATGCATCATGAAAGATAGCCACCACTATGATACTGTATTGAATAGTTTCACTGTCTAAAAATTCTTTGCCTATTCATGCCTCCATTCTTCCTAACCCCTGGCAACCACTTATCTTTTTACTGGCTCCATAGCATTGCCTATTCCAGAAAGTTGTATCATTGGAATCATATAGTATGTAGTTTTTTCATATTAGCTTTTTCTACACAGTAATATGCATTTTAAGTTTCCTTATATCTTTTTGTTACTTGATAACTCATTTGTTTTTACTGCTGAATCATATTGCATTGTCTGAATTATGACATTTATACATCCATTTATCTACTGAAGGATATCTTGGTTTTCCCCAAGTTTTGGAATATGTTTAGTTTTGCAAGAAATTGCCAAACTTTCTTCCTTTCACACTATTTTATAGCATTTGCATCTGTACCATCTTGCATTTCCACTAGCAATCAGAGTTCCTGTTGCTGCACATACTCATCAGTACTGGGTATTATCGGTATTTAAGACTTCAGCCATTCTAGTACTTGTACAGTATCTCATTGCTCTAATTTGCATTTCCCTGATGACATATGATGTGGAGCATGTTTTCATGTTTATTTGGCAACGTTTATTTTCTTCTTTTTTTTTTTTTAAGATTTTTATTTATTTATTTGACCGACAGAGATCACAAGTAGGTGGAGAGGCAGGCAGAGAGAGAGAGAGAGAGGAGGAAGGAGGCTCCCCGCTGAGCAGAGAGGCCGATGTGGGGTTTGATCCTAGGACCCTGGGATTAAAGGCAGAGGCTTTAACCCACTGAGCCACCCAGGCACCCCTGTCTGTGTATTTTCTTTGATGAGATATCTGTTAAGTTCTATAGCCTCTTTTAAAATCAGGTTATTTTCTTAATGTTTTAAGGGTTCTTCGTATATTTTGGGTAATAGTCCTTTATCAGGCATGTATTTATAAATATTTTCTCCTAGTCTGTGACTTTTCATTCAGTTGACAGTACCAGTATCTTTTGAAGAGTTTTTAATTTTAATGAAGGTCAGCTTATCAAGTTCTTTCTTGCATGGATCATGTATGCCACTGGTATTTTGTCTAAGTCATCACCATACCCAAGGACATCTAGGTTTTCTCTTGTGTAATTTTCTTGTTCTTACAGTTTCTATGTTTTACATGGAGGTCTGTGGTCCATTCTGAGTTAATTTTTGTGAAGGATGTTTGTTGTAAGGTATGTGTCTAGGGTTGCATTTGCACGTATATGTCCAGTTCCAGGATGATTTGTTGTAAAAACTGTCTTTGGTCCATTGTATTGTCTTTGCTCCTTTGTCAAATATTGGTTGATTATATTTATATGGGTCTGTGTGTAGGGTCTCTATTCTATCCTACATTGATCTATTTGTAATTTAAGTGTTTGGTAGACTTCATCAGTGAGCCCTTCTGGGCCTGGTGCTTTCTGTTCTGGATGGTTATCAGTTAAGTGGTTCATTTCTTTAATATATAAAAATCTGTGCAGATATCCATTTCTACTGGTCTGAGTCTGTCCAACTTTATCTTTCAAGGAATTGGCCCATTTTTTATAGGTTTGGAAAGTTGTGACAATAGAGTTCATAGTATTCTTTCCATCTTTTTTACTGTCTGTGGGATCTGTAGTGATGTACCCTCTTTCATTTCTGATTAGTCATTTGTGTCTTCATTGATTCAGTGTTATTTAGTAATGCATTTAATCTCAAAGTATTTTGGGGATTTTACAGCTATCTTTGTTTTCTATACTCAGTTGTAGGCTAAGAGCAGATACTATATGATTAATGTACTTTTTAATTTGTGTACTTTTTAATTTTCTGGCCCATGGTATGGACTGTCTTGGTGCATGTTCCATATGGGTATGAGATGTGTATTTCGCTTGATGAAGTAGTCTGTGGATGTCCATTATTTCCAGTTGGTTAAAGGTGCTGTTTAGATCAATTGTCCTTAGTGATTTTTTTTACCCACTGCATCTGCCATTTTTTGTTTACTATTAGCACAGAACATCTTTCTCCATGCATTTACTTTTCATCCTTGTCTTTATGTTGAAAGTGAATTTTTTCGCAGACTACACAGGTTTTAGCTTTTAGTATATCTTGTAATGTTTTCTTGATTGCCAGGCATTCTGTGCTGGATAAAAAGTACTGCTTTAAATAGGCCTTTAGTAACATGTTAAGTTGGGGAGGTGGGACAGGAATCATAGTCCTATGGTTACTGAAGAACTGTAGTTTTAGGTCTCAGTCTTTTAGTGAGATGGTGCCTTTGAACTTTGAACTATATATGTTCTTCACCTTCCTCCTCCCATTGGATAGGGAAGGGTTGTTAGGGTGGGTTTGAGATAAGTATTTGCCTACCCCCTTATCAATTAGGCTCTGATTAACTAGCTTATCCAGAGGTCCAGTGTTGGTAGGAATAGAGTTTTCCTTGTATATGTCACCATTGTTTCTCTTCCCCACTCTTCCTGTGGGATTTCTTTTCTAGATTTACTGTAAGAAACTGGTTGAGCTACTGCAGATAAAACTCAAAACAAGGGAGGGGGCAAGGGTTCATTATGAATGGGTCCCCTTGAAGTTTTTTAACTCTCTGATTTGTTTATTCTGAGCCTTTAATTTGTCGGTAACAGTTCAGGTTTCCCTATCCTACTACTAGTTCCTATGGAATTTTTACCTCTTGGGTTTGTGTGCCTGTAAGTTGTGCTTGTCTACATTCACATATCTCTCCAACATTGGGGATAGCACTTTGCTCTGTAACCTACTGCTGTGTAGAATTTGGGAAGAATTCTTGATTTTTCAGTTGAGCTTTTTACTTTGTTCAGAGTAAGTGACTTCCAAACTTCTTACATATTCTTATGTACAACCAGAAATTATACCAGCTTTTTTTTTTTTTTTAAAGACTTTATTATTTATTTGACAGAGAGAGACACGGCAAGAGAGGGAACACAAGCAGGAGGAGTGGGAGAGGGAGAAGCAGGCTTCCCACTGAGCAGGGAGCCTGATGTGGGGTTCGATCCCAGGACCCTGGGATCAAGACTTGAGCCAAAGGCAGAGCCACCCAGGTGCCCCATCTACCAGCTTTTAACATTAATTAGGCATGCAGTACACATAGTTGTATAATTGAAATAGAGGGCCAAATTCATGCTTTTATAAATAGGCTGATTTTGAATCAATATTAAATTCTCTTTGCTGCCTCAGTACCCTCCTTTGTATAACAAGATGAATTAGTTTTCTTTTGCCATTGGCCAGCATTTCCCCATTAACCCAACCACCCAGCCCCTGGTAACCACTATTCTGTTTCTGAGTTCATCTTCTCTGGATTGTACACAGAAGTGAGATGATGTGGCATTGTCTTTCTCTGTCCAATTTCTCTTAGGAAAATGCCCTCAAGGTCCATCTATTGTCACTAATGGCAAGATTTCCATTTAAAAAAACAAAAGGTTTTAGTAGCAGTGGAAGAAGTAGGAAAGGAGGAGTTCTCTGAAAAGTGAAGAGAAGTTAGCCTGTGGGGGAACCCACATATGGCTAGAGCATATAGGCTTAGTGGAAGAATGAGATGATAGATTCACAAATCAGATAATGAGGGCTTTTATGGCATCCTAAGGAATGAGGTCATTGTTCCTCATTTCCCAACTAGCAGTGACAATACTTCAAATTACTTCAAATATTGTCTCTCAAATGAGGGGTCATACCCGAGTCAGAAAGATAATTCTGGGAGTACCTGGCTGGCTCAGTTGGGAGAGGATCTGACTTTTGATCTCGGGGTTATGAGTTTGAGCCCCACACTGGGTATAGATATTACTTCAAAAAAAAAAAAATAGAGGAAGGAAAGAAAAGACAGAAATATAGATAATTTTGGAGCTAGTTTGGATTACAGATCTGTGAATGTCAGGGAGATGGGTAAAGGAAGTTCCTAGTAGTAGTTACTGAAGTAAAAACATGGAGATGACTTAAAGTCCTGGTCATGGTAGCAGAAGAGGGAAGGTATTACAAAGAGTAGCCATAGATTTTGCTGATTAGTGAGGGACAAAGTAACAACTCTAACACCTATGTTTATGCAGTGGGTAGCTGAATAGGATCCTGGGAGAGATGCTAGTGGCAGGGACCTGCATTAAGGTATTTTGGTCCATTGTATGATATAGTACAACATGTATAGTAGGAAGTTCTCTGACTCATGAACTTCATTCTGTTGGCTTCTAACCTCTGTAGGCCATGTCGAAGTCAAGCTGAGACTCATCTACTTCCTTTCAATAAAGAAAGAAATCCATATACTTTTATGTATAAGTAGATTAGGCCAGGACCAAGAAGCATTTTGATGCAGCCTTAAACCATAAAATTGAGTTCATTAGATCAATCTTAATATTTTTTTAAAGATTTTATTTATTTATTTGACAGATAGAGATCACAAGTAGGCAGACAGGCAAGCAGAGAGAGAGGAGGAAGCAGGCTCCCTGCTAAGCAGAGAGCCTGATGCGGGGCTCGATCCCAGAACCCTGAGATCATGATCCGAGCCAAAGGCAGAGGCCCAACCCACTGAGCCATCCAGGCGCCCCAGATCAACCTTTATATTGAGTAAATTACCTGATGAACACTGATCTGAATATAATTATTGCTTTTATATACTAAGTACAAGTTTTATCTTAACTTCATTTGTCACTTATATATATCTGTCTCGCAAAATCAAATGCCATTCCTGACATGAATTTGTATGACGGAAATGTGTCTGGCATTATTGGCACCATTTCCCTGTTTACTTCTGAAGACTGGAAAACAGGGGAAGATGGGTCTGTGAATGAGTAGTGCTGAATAAAAAGGTTTAGAAAGGCCTGTACATACAAAGAACTTTTGTTCTTCTTTGTTCTATACGGGCTGACATAATTATTCTTTCCCCAGCCACAACAATCCTAAATTACCCTTACTGGGTGCTAGGTCTCTCTGAAAAAGAGTCACTACTAAGTAGGGGTGATTCATAATACCCTGACTATTTGATGGCGTGGTGACCAACCCATCAGAACAGATGCCTGCTTTCATGGTGAAGGAAGGTTCTGGAGGCCCCATGCTTCTGGTCACTGTCCTTTCCCTTGTCGAATCCTGAGGATATTCAGGGAGAAGTGGGGGCCAGTAGCTACCAACTGGCGTTGAAAACACTGTGTATTTGACCAACTGGTGTGGTCAGCTGGCTGTGTCCTGGCGGAATGTTGTGACTGGCTGCAGGAGACCGAGTGGCTAACTACTGTGTTCTCTTCCTAGGTTTCAGAAATGGAAGTCTGTATTTCCCATATTCAGTGATACTCAGTGAGTCTCCTGGCTTCCTCATCCCTCAGTCCCCGTTGCCCACTGCCCTTAACCGAAGACCCATGTTTTGTAACACAGCACAGTTCTGGCAGTGTAGTGGCTATGGAAAGAAAAAGAAGACAAAAGAGACTCAGACTGAACCTCATCAGGCTGAAAACAAGACTCAGAAACAAGACACCCACTCAGAAGGTGATGTGACCAGTATCCCAACTTCTAATAGTGACACAGAAACTGAAAACATTCCTCAAGCAACAGATGGGGTTTTGTCTTCTGTTGCCCAGAAGCAGCAGCTACATGGTGAGAGCCCTTCTCCTAACACTGTATACAAAGCATCACCTCAAGTAAACTATGTGTCTGAGAAAGGGAAAATGGGGCTAGAACAATGCAAAGGATCCCCTGTAACACAGTTCTGGAAGACTTTGAAGGAAACTATCCATTTGTATGACCTGGCTTATGCTAAAACCATGCCAGACATCATGGTGCAGCACGGTAGGATTTCACAGAGTTCTCGGGAGAGTAGAAGTGTGCTTCATAACCGTCACGAGGGTGCAGATGGCATTATGTGTAAAGACGAAGAAAGCACTCTGTGGTCGGAACAGTGTCATGTAAGACATGATGAGGTGGTAACGTTGGGATCCATCATGGACATGAACTTGGGTAAAGAAAAAGGCTATGCAGCTGTTCTCCAATGCCTGTCCTCTCTAGATGAAGCAAAAGACAGAGATGAAATCCAGGATACTCTGAATTCCAATCTGTGCCAGTCTTCTGGAGATGGCGATATGCTCCAGCAGGAAAGTCCAGTCTGCTCCAGCAATAAAGCCATTGAGGACCTGAGCCTAGAGTCCAAAATCCGGAGTCCCATTCACTTTGGGGAAAGTATGCTAGACAACAGTAGTGGGGGCCGTGGCTTCCCTGTGAAAGTGGGCAAAGGTGAAGTTGTAAAGAGCAACAGCTACCCTGAGAATTATGTCCTCCCCCCTACCTCCCTCACCCAGTTCAGCCATGTCGATGAAGGCATTCAGTATGATGTGAGCCAGTGGCAGGATGCAGAGCACGAGAAATCTCCTGAGTCCTCACCAGAGAGCAGAAAGACAACAGAAGAATGCAGAAATGGAGAACTGGAAGAGGTGGTAGAGTGGAACAGCTGCTCAAAGTATGTGTCTAGCTCTGCCTGGTTGGCCCAGATGAATAGCAGGCGGGTAGATGAAGGGATTCAGTGTGATAGGAGCTGGTGGCAGGATGCACAGCTGGAGAGATCCTTTGAGCAAATGCCTTCCAACGATGAAGAGTCATCTCCAGATTGCAAAACTAAGGGATCACGGAGAAGGACCATCAGGAATGCGAGACTGAACACAGATGAAGAAGAAATGACCATGAATGATGAGATTGAGGAGGAGGATCATGAGAACTTCAAAAAGTGTGCAAAGATTGAAAAAACTGTGAAAGGCAGGAAGCAGAAATCCCTAAGCAACATCTCAAGTGGGAACACAGTCTATTTATTGAAGAAAAATGGTGCCTTGAACACTGTACTTCCCAACGATTCAGAAGACTATGATTTGGAAGAGGAAGGTGAAGATGAAATGTATGAGATAGAATGTCTCTTGGAAGAAGTTAGTCCACTGGGCTGTGTGATGTCTTCCAAAGGGAGGATTTATCGCGAGGTTGGCAGGATCATCAGGATGCCAGCTGAGTGCTCTTTCCCTCCCCAACTTATTGTGTGGTGCACCAGAAAAAAGTACAGGTTAAAGCTTGGGGAATACGAGAGCATCCCTGCGGTGTGCAAAGTAACAGGACAGGATGGCAGGTTCCGAGGAGAACGTACCATGGCTGTGCAGGAGGGATTGGAGTCCAAGAGAGCCTCACCCAAGCCCTGGGAATGTAAGTGACTAATGGACTCATTCCATTTGGTTGTCTGTGGTGGTTCCACACTGTGTCCTGGATGCAAAGGCAGCCATAGATCAACAGTATTTCTTCATTTTGGAAGTATGTTCTTAAATAACTGTAGGTGCCCATGTTTGTAGGATTGGGAGAAATTCTAGGTTTGAGGTCCTGCATTCTAGGAAACTGTGATGTAATTTGAACAAAGAGCTGTAGGAGTTGATGGAAAGCTGGGTGGTGGTAAAGGACAGGAGGGTTGAGAGAGAAAAGAGTCATGGACATGGAGCTGGGTGGAGTTGCCGAGAAAGGGCAGTCCATGTGGAGGCGGTGAATTTTGATACAAATTTGGGGGCTGTGGTTTGGAGTAAGAATGGAGACAGTAGCATGAGCTTGATTGGGTAGCCAGGAGAGGTCAAGTGTGTTCCAGGGATTGAGGCTGAGAAGAGCCAGCCAGAAGGGAGACCTGTGACGAGTTAGGCCAAGTGGGTCTAAACAGACTGGGCTAAAATAGTAGAAATTTTCCTTTTGAGATTTTTGTCCTGTAGGCAGTAAGGAGGTGCCCAAAGCAAATTGAATAGAGAAGGGACAAGAAGAAATGTGCTCTAGGCCTCTTCATATGGCAGTATAGCGGAGGAAGAATTTGAAGCATGTCCATTTGGCTGAAACCCCTTTATAAAGTCAGTTTAACTGAACATTGGAAGGCAGCTATGCTTACCACTATACCACCAACACTTAACTGAACATTGGATATAAAGGGTCCTAACTCACATGGAAGTAAAAGATAACATTTCAGAGAATCCATTAACAAAACTGATTCTTTTAAGAAAAGAGAAAAAAGGCTGGAGGGGCAGCTGGGTGGCTCAGTCAGTTAAGTGTCTGCCTTTGGTTCAGGACATGATCTCAGGGTCCTGGGATCAAGCCCCTCATCAGGCTCCCTGCTCAGCAGGAAGCCTGCTTCTCCCTCTCCCTCTGCCTGTTGCACTGCCTGCTTGTGCTCTCTCTCTCTATCTCTTGTCAATAGAAAAAAAAAAAAAAAAAAGGCTGGGGTTTGAACTTGTATCTAGAAAAAATGATAACATCCATAGACAAGGAAGCTTGGGAAAGGAAGTTGTCTTGCTTTACTGTGTGGTTGTCAGTGGGAGGACTGGACTAGCAGATCATACATACCTGGTTGAAGCTTGAATTTGGATCACCCTATGTTTAGGGAGAGGGCTCAAAGGAGTGGGAAGGGCCCAAAGTAGAGTCTGGGGGATGGTTATACCTGGGGAGCAAAAATGAAATGAAGCAGGTAAGTGACAAATGGGATGCATAAGGGCCCCCGGGGAAATTTAATTAAGTTCCAGTCTTAGTTTCTAAACCAAAACACTGTCCATCTTACCTTTAGTCTTCTCAAAGTCTCATTTGCCTCTGCTGTCATTTCCCCTCAGTGTGTAGGAATCCGTTTTTTCCATCCTATCACAGCCCTGTGAAGAAGATAACTTTAATTTACTCTTGGTTATACAGTTAAGATGGTAATTTTCAGGCCAAGTTGTCTAGATTGTGTCCATTATTTTGATTTTTTTTTTTCTGTCAAGGACTATAGAATGATACAGAATAGTATCTTGAACAATAGATTTTTTTTTCAAGAAGGGTGTGGTTTTTTTCCCCTCTTTGGTTTTTTTTTTTTTTTTTAAGATTTTATTTATTTATTTGAGAGAGAGAGATCACAAGTAGGCAGAGAGGCAGGCAGAGAGAGAAGAAGGGAAGCAGGCTCCCTGCTGAGCAGAGAGCCCTTTGCGGGACTCGATCCCAGGACCCTGAGATCATGACCTGAGCTGAAGGCAGCAGCCCAACCCACTGAGCCACCCGGGCGCCCCCCCTCTTTGGTTTTTTAAGTAACTTGGATTATTTAATGTATGAATCACTTCTTACCTCAGGTAACTGTGAGAGATGGAAAACCGAGGTACCTTACAAAGTTTCAAACAGATTTGAGGCAGATGCTGTAATGTTTAGGAAATAGCAGGTACAGAGGTTGGTATCTATTCTGTATCTAATTTGTGTGTCTCATGATTGGCTTTTAGGGCTTTGTTTGGGGTTTCCTACTCAGTGCATGTTCTGCCCTGCAAAACTAACACTGCTTGTGGACAGTGAAAAATGGCAGCATTCTGACTGGGTAACAGACCTGTAGACCTATAGATCCTTCCTTATAAGTAGATTGGAGCCAAAGCCTTTCAGTTCCATGGAATGTCATTGTTATGCTGATTTTCCACGTTTAATTCCCAGGGGTGTTAATGGTAGTCTGTTGTGGGTTATATGGGATTTTGTAAGTTATCCCAGTGGTTTATCAAAGTGCCCCAGTTTAGAGCTTGAAGAGCTGGGTACTTGAAGTTCAGGGTCTCCCTTAAGGGGCTAGTGGCATGACGGGCTTCTCTTCACACTGAGTCTTGGTATCCCTGCCACACTTTCAACCCCTAGGCCTAGGGTGTCAGGGAGCACATGGTTATTGGCCCTTTCAAGGCCATTCCTATGCTACAGTGGTCATAAGAAAAGACAAATACTCAAGCTCAGGCAAAATGTTAAGACCTTTAACTTTATTGTAAAGATGAAAACTAAAGATAGTAGTAATGACTTTCTGTATATCTTGAGTCTGTTATACAGCTAATTTAAAGAACTCTTTTATTCTTTTATTTCATAGGAAACAAATTGCTGTGTTCCAGCTACATAGAAGAGCTAAATAGTACATCATCGTGATGGCCTAGAACACAGGATTATCCCTTGATTTGAGCTGAGAAAGCAATTATACCAACATAAAGAAAATGGGACATTATAAAGCCTTTGGAATTAAAAGAACTAAAACAACAAATAAATTGAATTGCATGTGTGTTTGATTCTCAAGCATTTTCTTCCCCTCTCCAAATGGCCACATCACTGGTAACACTACCAGTAGAGTTGGGTTATTCATGAATATTTCTGCCAGGTGTATTACTGTCTTGTTATCTCCAGGGACCTTTAAAATGGGGAAGAGGATGGTGAGTTGAGGGCAGAATAAAGAGATGAAGGATGCCCAAAACAGGAACTACCCTGATGATAGAGACAGCAGCTTATTTATTTTTTACAAATGGAAACCAGGCTTATAGTAGCTTCACTGACTGGTATGTCCGTTGGTGAGTTGTAGTATATGTTATTTACTCCCAGTGTACACTCACAGAAACAAGGCAAATAAGAGCTCCTTATACTCAGAAACTACAACCTATATGGTCAATTTGTGGAACCAGTCTTTTCCCAATAAATGGTACAGATTAAGCCTGTGACTAAGTGCCAAAATGTTTATATGTGGGTGAAGACTGTCCTTAAGGGTATTTGTAAGAACAGGGCACATGTGGAAAAGCTAGAGTTGCTTCCTGGAAGGGCTTTCTGGGTGACGGTATGAATAATATTTTGATACCTATGGATGGGTTCACTCAGTGTTGCCTCTGAGTTGCCCAGTGATGAGTTAACTATATTTGTTTACTCTATTTTTATATTTTTAACTGCATTTTAACTACCTGTGGTAACAAAGTTAATTCTCAAGATGCATTAAGGAGATGGTACAAAGTGATAGCATTTGCATGTTTTCACTGAGATGCAAAAAGTCAAGCAAAATATAGTATGGTTTCTAAAGCTGGTCTTATGATAAGCTTTTGTGACTTATCTTTCTCCTAACCCCTACCTAAAAGATTGGGTAGATATTCTAGGAAAATATCTGTGAATCCTATCCCCACCCATGGCTGGAGTATGGGACTCTCCTGTGTGTGTTTTAGTAACACCTGCATTTTCACTTTCATAGCCCATGACATGACATGACAGGAGAGTTACAACATTTTCACCCTTGAGACCATGTATTCTTTAGGGCTGGTAGCTCCAAGGAATAGTTCGTATAGAGCCTAGCACATCATATGCACTCAAATATTTGTGAATGAATGGCTTAGTGTCAATTTGGATGAACAGTTTTGGCCTTGTCACTGTTCCATCATTCCAAGCCCAGAACATAATCAAAATGGGAAAGCTGCGGTAGGAATGCATTAGCTGGAGTAACTGAACAATTAGGAAGACTTGAGTCCATATAATCCAACTTCCTTGCTTATCTGGGAACCAGGAAGGCATCCACTACTCTAACTCCCCACCAACAATCCTGATTCATTCAAATTCCAACAATCTAATTCATTTGCTTATAAATGCTCATAAGAAGATTAAAGAGTGTGGTTTTCATTAATGTGTTAATATGAGTTGAATCTGATTGCTTTTTTGACATCTGTAAAATGAGTTACAAGTGCTTTGGGTGAACTAACTGAAGGCACTTAAATGGGACCATAACTGGGGCTCTCTGGCTACTGGGAAGATGTTGGACCCTAGAAGGTGGGGAAGATGGTAATGCTGGTATATGGAAGAGCAAGCACAAAAAGAGGACGGGTCCAATGAACATTGTGCCTGCTTTATAATCCTTCCCAAATTCTTACCTTTATTCTAGAGGCTAAAAGAGAAGTGAAGCATAAGTCCAAATGAAGGGTACATCGTGACAACACATTCCCTTTCATTTTCCCAAGCAGTTACTGTACCTCCTGGCACAATGAGTTCCTTAGGGTCAGACTCTCACATGAAGATTTGTGTGCAGAAAATTTAGTGGGGAGTGTTATGGGGAATAAAATCTCTGAAGGGGCAAAGAAAGCCTGATTAAGCATAGGGAAGAAGTATGGATGTGATGCAGTAACAACAAAGTCTTTAGCCAAAGTTCCACTGGGAGCTCCTGAGCTGCAGAGTTGTCTCAACTGGGGTAAGAGGCCACACCATACAGCCCTGCACCCTTTGAAAAGGTCAACTGTGTATTCTAATCTAATCATGGGGGTAAAATCCATTATAGTAACATTTCTACAGATTTGGGCAAAAAATTTTGGAGGCTATTTTATAATTCTGCCTACCACAACCGCAATGACAGGTTGATAGATACCTTGGTAGAAGGAGGTCTGGTGACTTCTCTTCCTTTCCTAAATAGGACTGGAGAGTACTGAGTCTGAAAGGAGAGATTTTAGGATGAAGAACTTTGATCAGCTTGATAGGCTCAGCAGTCTGGGAGTTGGAGCAGAGGAAAAAGAGGTTAGGTTGAGGTTCTTCTGGGTAAATTGGGCAAAAAGACTACAGGTCAAGGGATATGACAGACTGAAATAAAGGACCATGGAACCTAGGCCAGAGACAGTAGACAGACAAACCTGGAGTGAGAGAGAAGAGACAGGAATTAACTTGCAAGGGTTGCACTAGATGGCAAGGTATCTTTCTTTCTTTCTCTTTCTCTCTCTTTCTTTCTTTCAAGGATTTTATTTATTTATTTGAGACAGTGAAAGACAGCATGAGTGGAGAGGGAGAAGCAGGCTTCCTGCTGAGCAGGGGACTAATACGGGAGTCAATCGCAGGACCCTGAGATCATGACCTGAGCTGGAGGCAGACACTTAATGGACTGAGCCACCCAGGGGCACCACAAGATTTCAATTAAAGCAGGAAGTGGAGGAAGGCTTCAGGAAGAAGTTTACACTGAAAAAAATTAAAAACAACAAAAACAACAATAACAATAACAACAAACCAGGAAGAGGTTTAACATTTAGAGCAGTGGTTCTCTAAGTCTGGCCCCCAGACCAACAGTGTCAGCATCATTTGGGCATTTGACACAACTGCAAATTGTCCAGTCCACTCCAGACCTAGTAATCAGAAATTCTAAAATTCTAGGAGTTAAGACACAGGAATCTATTTTAACAACCACCCCAGGTGATTTTGCTGCACCATAAGTTTGACAATCATCTATATTATTCTCCC